GGGCTCCTGATGCTATCGTCTGGTAGGAAACCCTGCCTGAGCTCTGGGCAGGTGAAAAGCCTTCCTGTTTGTCGAGCAATTAGTCACACGGATTCTGGGCCAAGACACATCATCTGCGCGATGTTAATCCCCGGGCCAGAGACGACAGGCTGGCGGAACCCACAGGGCTGGCACAATGGCACTTCAGGCGGCCGGATGGCTTCACTTTCCCACTCATTCGCAGCCCCTGCCCTGCTCAGCACGTGCTTCCTTGTTTCCAAGTCCTTCTGGAGCACTGAGTTCTGGGCTACGCTCTGCCCTGCTCCAGAGAGGCAGCCTCCACTCTCCACAGAAGGAAGCTGTGTTCCCGTGCCGGGAGGGCTCGGGGCTACCACTCCAGCTGGGGGGCGGGGAGGGGGTGGTGGCTCCCGGACGTTCCTCTTCCAGAACAGACTGCCGGGCAGTGCAGCTTCAGCTGCTGGCTGGGGGTGGGGGGTGGGGGGGGCACACTTGTGCTTCAGGGTTCCCAGGGACCGAAGGATGTGCACACCAAGAACACCCACCACATTTCATCCTGTTTCTGTTGTTTACAGACCTGCAGGTAGTATCTTTCCAGGGGTGGGGATCACATTACCCATCGCAGCAGTCTGCAAACAGGTACTGGACCAAACAGCAGGCCTGTCTCGTGGCCCCAGACCTGCGGCTGGCCGGCCAGCTCACGGTGGGCATGCAGCCCTCCCTTCTCAGGCAGGAACCAGAGCGTGGCCAGCAGAACCACGGAAGGCAGGGAGAATGGGGTCCTGGGCAAGTACTGCATCGCAGAGGACAGCACGTTCCCACAGTGACAGGCCTCTGTGGGCCCTCGTCCTTCCGCGATCCCACCGTGGTTCACCCTGACAGTATCATCAGCTGCCGGAGGAGCATGGTGGGCAGGGGCAGGGCCCCAGAGAAAAACCCCAGGTGCGGGTTCCAACCCAAATCAAGTTTCGCTTTTGACTTTGAATCATGCCCCATGGTTTTGGTCCTAGGATTCATTTTTTCCTGATTGCATTTAGTCTGGGCTCCTGTTACAATCTGCATTTCCTGAGCATGCCTTCAGCACAAGAGATGGGAGGTAGGGACCCAGACGTTCCTGCACACGTGGCCCAGCAGAGGTAGGTCATGCTGCTGGATGAGCCTGTCCTGACGCAGGTTCCTGGGAGGCTGGCCGGGGTGGCCGGGCCCCCCAGCCACACTCTGCTGGTGGTACTGCTGGCCTGCGGTGGCTCTGGGGGGAGGATGTCCTGAGGGAAGTCGGGGCAACAGGATGGGACTCTGGGCTCAGCATTTGGTCTCCTGCCGGGGTCCCCCTTTCCTTCCTGCCTCTGACAATGTCTGAGCTGCGTTTTATAACGTGGCCAGTGACTGCTCTGGGGAGGCTGAGTCTCGGGGGATAATTATTGGGCCTACGTAGGCTGTGTGCCATACAGTAATACCATGTTGTGGGGGAGTGTCGTTTTGGGGAGGTCAGGCCAGTAAAGGGAGGTCACCTTGCCACAGAGTTTACACTCCTGAAGCTAAAATCTGCACAAGACTAACCCTCCGCCCTGCGCTTCTCATGTGGCAGCCTGGGGGCTGTGGCCAGCACGCCCTGACAGCATTGGTGTGACAGGAGGGACGAGAATGGGCCCACAAGGCCATTCCTTCTTGGCAAAGTCTCCTTGGCAACAACGCTTTTCCTGCTGGTCCAGCCAGGTGGGAAGCAGCCCATGGCACAGCCTGGCTGGGGGTGGACACAGGCATCAGGCCCTCAGGACATTCGGGGTCAGAGGGCAGAGAAGGCCGGCACGAAGGGTGCCGTCTGAGCAAGGATACCCAGGGCCTGCCTGCTCCCTGGCAGCAGAATGTTCCAGCAATGTACTGCCTTGACCAGCTGCTCCCTGAGCCCTGTCCTTCCTGGAGATTGTCCTCCCCACCCCACCTCCCGCCACTTCCTAGAAAGCTGGTTACTAGAATTTTCCTTCAGGTTGGATCCCTTCTTGGGAAATGGTTGGGAGGGCCGAGTCTGTGTGCGCGTAAACATCCTAGTCCTGGCCTCTGGGCTCACATGTGGGATTGCAGACCTGTTCCGAGCTGGGCAAGGAAGGGCTATTGCAATATCTCAGGGCCACGTCCTGACCCCCCACCTCGTGTTCCCCGATTCAGTTCTGCCCAGCCCTGCACACCTGGGCAGGGCCTCTGAGCTGGAGGAGGTTGAGGGGGTGTCAGTCGTGGCCTGGGGCATCTTGGAGAGTGGGCGGGGGTGCGTGGACAGCTGGGCGCTGAGCAGGAGGGAGCAGGAGGAAGGGCCCTACTCCCAGGAGCCCCTGTGGCCGGCCGGGGCATGGGTGCCTATGTCTGTGTTGACTGGAATCCCACAGGGAGGTAAAGCTCTTGCTTGACAGATCTCTTTCTGGCACCTTCTGTCCGAACGCGGCCCGCCCCTTCACTGCTTCCTCTTCATGGCTCAGCCATCGAAACCATCCGCCGTGGTTCCTGGCCAGCCAGCACTAGTCCTGCTTACCACCCATCTCACCCAGACCTTCGGCCGAGCCATCCCTCTGAAAGATTGGTCCCCTGGGGCATCACTGCCTGCCCTGACCCGCACTCCTGCTCCTCTGCTCTAGGACCCCCACTCTGACCAGCGGATACTGGCCCTGAGCTTGCCCCAGCCTGCCCCACTTCCCTTCTTAGAAAACCTCCCTCCGTGGCCGGCGTTGGCATCACCCCCTTGCAAGTCCTCGCCCGCCGGCCCACTGCCATACTCCCCTGGCAGAGCTGGACCCCGAGGAGAGAAACAGCTCGGGGGCTCTGTGCTGCACCCGGGCAGATGGCTGGTGCCAGGAAGAACGGCTGCACCCCTCGGATGCCGGGGGCAGCATTTGGCCGAGAAGCAGGTGTGGCCGAGCATGTGCCACCATCAGGGCCAGAGCGAGGCTCTTGGTTCCCTCCTCAGTACGCCTCATCTTACGAAGCTCTGGCCCCCGTGCCCAGTGAGTTCTCCACCCAGCAGCCAAGCCAGCTGGATCTTTTAAAAGCATAAACCTGGCCACATAATCCCCTTGCTTCGACTTTTTCCGTGATGTCCCAGGGCACGTGGAGCAGGTGTGCCGAGCCTACCTGTCGTGCTGGCCCATTGCTCCCCAGCACCATAGGTGCCTGCCCCAGCCAGCCTGGTTCTTGCTGCTGATTTGGCTTTTGCCTTCTCTGTGTGAGAAGGGGGCCTGGAGGTCTGCCAGACCGAGAACAGGCCTGGGACGCATAGATGCGGGAAATATTTGATGAGCGAACCCTGCCAGGGGGCAGGTCACCTAATCATGGGGCTGCACCATCTGGGGACACCTCCCACAGCCCCCTCTTGTGTCGCCTCTCCAGACCTGTCCATTCCGTGCCATAGTAGGGACGGGCTTGGTTGTGGAGGGCGGTAGACTGAACGGCTGGCAGGTCCGAGTGCCCTGCTGGAGCCGCACCTGCCCTGGCTCCTCTCTGCCGTGGGGCCTCACCCAGGCTCTGCACATTAGCTGCCCGTGTATTCGGCACCCACCCCATGCGCCTTCTAGGGGAGGCTGGTGGAGCATCCCCGGCAGACAGCTGGTCCTGGGCTCCTTCCTCTCCTGTGCCGATTGCTTTGCGGGTGCCTGACTATGGCAGGCGCTGCAGACCCATCTGTCCCCTCCTACACTGGGCAGAGTTTCTGATATTTGAAGAGGGCCACCATCCCCTCCTCTCCTACCACTAGGAGTGACAACAATGACTTTCTTAGAAGACACAAAGGAAGAAGGTTCTGGAAGTGTGACTTGAACACTGTAGTTGCTCACAGGTGGGCAGGCCGTTCCAGGGGGCCCCCAGCACCTCCCTGCTGGGCTTACAGGAGAGGCTTTCCAGGGGGACTTCACAGGTGTCTGGGCATCTGGCCCCTCGGGTGGGCACAGGCCACAGCTGTGCGTGTGCACGGTTGGGTGGGGTGTGGGGACTCTGTCCTGTCCGTTCTCCTTCCAGGAATGCTGCCTTTCTCAGGTTTTCTGTCCAAAGCCCAGCTGAACCCTTCTCGGGGGTCTCCTCTAGAGCACACAGGTGGACGGCTGCTTCCTGGCTTTGCTGGGCAACGAGAGGGACACTGTCCCCCAGAGCTTAGTGCCAGGGCAGCAGAGCCCATGCTCTAGCCCGCCTGGAGCTAGTGGGGCTCACCCCCGTGAGGCCGCAGGGAGGCTGGGGGGAGGGAGGCCTGGCTCACAAGGAGGACAAGGTGGAAACGGGCCTCCCGGCTGCGCTCGGGCTTCGCACCAGCACCCCGCGTGCTGGGAGGGGCAATGAAGAAGGGCAGGGGCCACGGCCACGGCCTGCGCGGCCCCACAGGCTGCTCCCTTGCTCCGCCTGTGCCTATGGAGGCCCGCTCATGCGCGGTGGGAGGCAGAGTGGAGCAGTGCGGGCCGCAACCGGCAGGGGAAGCCCGCTGAAATTGCATTTGCTCTGGCTCTCAGGGCGGGCTGCGTCTGAGAACAGAAACAAGGGCCTAGGAAGCCCCGCGGGGAGCGAGGGGGCCACAGAGCCCCGGATTTCCAACACCGTCAGTGCCTGGACACCCTCCGCCCTGTCATTCTGGGCACCAATGTGAACTTGCACTTTGGGGACTCAGCCAAAAGGAGCTGATGTCTGGTCTTCATTAAAGGTGACTGCGCATGGACCCTGGGCTGCTCGGTGCCCAGCACAGAGCTCCCGGGAAATGTTGGTGACAGGGACTTTGTCATGTCCGCCAAATTCATATGTTGGAGCTCTAGCCCCCAGCACCTCAAGATGTGCGTATATGGAGACGGGGCCTTTGGAGAGTTGATTAAGGTAGAACGAGGTCACTGGGATGGCCCCCATGCAATCTGAGCCGTGTCCCCAAGAGAGGAGGAGATCAGGACACAGACACGCACCGAGGGCGACTGTGTGAGGACTCGGGGAGAGCATGGCGTCCACGCGCCGGGGAGACAGGCCTCGGGAGGATCCAGCCCTGCACACACCTGGATCTTGGAACTCCGACTCCAGGACGGGGACAATGAACTGTTGTTTGAGCCTCCTGGTCTGTGGTGTTTGTCACAGAAGCCAGAGCCTACTAAGACTGTGAGCGAGCTGGATCCTGCACGCACACCCAGATGGTGGTGTGTGCCCGGCCTGGCTGGGGTGGGCACCTGCCTGCCCATGGGGCACCGTGCACTGATGCAGCCAGCCTCTCCCTGTGGTGCCACCCTTGGCAGGCGTCCTGGCCCGTCGCTGCGGTGGGGTGGGGAGGGGGTCCTCTGTGGAGGCCGCCAACCTCGCTCTTGCTGGTGCTCGCTGACAGCTGTCTCCTCCCCATCGTACCCGCCCTGCTCCCGGCTACAATGTCACAACTCAAAGCCTGGGGCTGCCGGAACCCCCGTGGTTGGGAAGGTGTGTTTTACTGCGGGGGGTGGGGGGAGATAGGCAGGGACTTCCTTTGCACAAGTCTGACCACAGGGGGCCGCTGAAACCCCCAGCTCCGAGGCCAGCGCACATCCACGGGTGACCGGCCCCAAACCTTCCCCAGCCCTAGCTGCCAGCGGGCAGCAGGGTCCCTTGCAGCTTGTGGTCTGTCCTGAAGTCAGCAGTGAAGCCGGAGACCTCCTGCTGGTGGCCCTCTGCCGAGGACCAATTTCTCCCCAGGAGGGAGGAGCCATCACCTTTGCAGAGGTGAGGAGAAGGGGCCGCGCCGCCCTCCACTCTCAGGCTGGTGGAGAACATCCCGGGTGAGTCTCTACAGACCCCGAGTCGGGGGTCCGTAAACCAGATCGGAGGGCTCTAAGCGCAGAGGATGGGATTGACACACTGAAAGTGGACCACTTATGAACACGTTTACCGAAACCACCTTAGGGAGATGGAGGAGCCAGCCATACCCTGGGGAGAGGGGTCTGTAGCACTTTGAACCGAGAGGACCGTTGCATAAAAAATAAAGAAATCCTACAAACCAGAGAGAACAAGATCAGCAGGCCGATGGCCAGATGGGCCACGGTCGTTGGCAGACGCTCTGTGGTCTGGGCATCTGGGCCAGTAAGCGTGGGAAGCGGTGGTCAGCCTCATCCATCTGCCAGGTGACAGCTCTATGGGGGGGGGGGTTGCTGCCTCCGGGGCTGGTGGGGGAGGGGCAGCCACGGCTCCGCCCGCAGCCCCCATGCGTCCTAGGAGCGCAGTGAGAACGAGTCCGGAGACCACGTGCTGGGATCCCTCCAGCCCAGCTCAGAACCAAGCCAGACTTGCGTAGATTGTTGTTAGGCTTCAAGGGACATGCGAGAGAGCTTCGATGGAAAGACAGGGAATGACGAACAGGGTGCGGGGCCGCCCACCAGGCTCGCCGAGGGCATCGTGGTGAAAGCCGCAGGGAGCCTGCGTGGGCAGATGGAGGATGTGTGGCATGAAGTGAGGGTCTGGGCCCCTGGTTCCGTGAGAAAAGGAGAGAGGAGGGAGGCGGAGGGACAGCTCGGGCCGCAGGCCACGGCCTGGGGATGCTCTCCTCCTGCACCACCCCGGTTACCTGCCATTACCACGCGAGGGCACACGGCCTCTATTTCTCACCGAGGCTGCTTCGGGCATAGGGCCGTCCTCTGTCTGTCTTCTGTCCTCACCCCCAAGGGGCTCCTGAAGGGGGCGGATGCCCAGCTGGGACCCGAGCCACCTGCCAGGAACACCCGTGTATCCTGGGCGTCGCTGTGGTGCTGGGGACGGAGGGAGGCTTTACGTGATCCTCCATCCTTCCAACAACCGGGTGTGGACGGCGTCAGCACTCAGCCCGAAGGCTGCCCTCCCCACTTCTCTGCCCCTTACCCCTTGTCCAGGCCTAGCCTCCGTGACAAGAGCGCTCAGAGACAACGCGGGCTCTGTGAGCTCTTCGCTGTTCTCTGGAAGGTTTCGGGACCGCAGGAAGGACACAGCGGGGCTGGCTTTGGGGCCTTGGCAGGGGCCCTGTTTGTAGTTGTGGGAACTGAGGTGTGGCAGGGCCGGGCTTGCCCTGAGCTGTCCTCGAGGCCCCGGCTGCTTGAGAAGGCCCATTCCTCTTTGTGCTCCCTGCCAGTTCTGGGAAGAAGGGAAATGGGGTCGCTCGCTGTGCTTCCTGAGGAAGCTCCGCCAGGAAACACGCCAGGCCCCGGGGAGCCTGGGTCCAGTGCTGGAAGCGAACCCAGGGAGCCTGGGCCATGGCCCTTGCAGAGCTGGCAGCTGAGTCCTGCAGCCTCCACGGTCTTGGGGCCACGGCTGGGGGCAGCTTCCGTGAATGCTCCGGGCCCCAGCGAGGAGCCAGCGAGGCCCAGGGACCTGGCTTCCAGGAACTGGCCCAGGGAGGGGGCTCCAGCCAGGGCCTGGGGCCGTGCCAGAGCTGTGGGCCGTGTGCCTGCAGCCGGAGTCTGTCCCCCAGAAAGATGCTCAGGCCTTCCAGAGAATGCCAGCTCACCACGGTTTGCTGATTTATTAAACCAATAAAGACCCAAAGGAAGGGTCAAGTTCAGGCTCTGGCCCTGCGGCCTCAGGCTGCTAGATCAACCCTCTCAGGAAGAGTTGAGTGGGGTCAGAACAGGATTCTTGGCCTGGCTTTTCCCCCGCAGGCCTTGGTCACCTGTGAGATGAAGCTGAGTGGCATTTGGGGCCCCTTCCCAGGACGGTGCTGTGTCTGAGTACCGGTGGCCCTGAGCATGTAGCCAGTGGGGCGGGGGTGGGTGGGGTGGGACCACGTGGGCTGTGGGGGGAGGGTGGCTTTGAGACGTTTACCCTGAGATTGGTCTTGCTATGGGTGGTACCTATTGTCCCCCAGTGCATGCTGTCCTTTGGTCACTGGGGGACCCCGGGGAGGTCAAGGGGCATCTGGCAGCCATGGGTTTCCACCTGCTCAAGGCCCAGACCGGAGAGAACTAGGCTTGGATGAAGGTGGGAGCCTGGAGACACAGTGCAGGCTATGCCGGGAGGGGGCCGGGGTGAGGGGAGCCCCGGGAGTGCAGGGCCTGCCCCACCCTGGCTCTGATGACAGGGGAGCAGCCCCGCCCCTGCCCGTTGGTGGTGGTGCTGCCCTAGGGTAGCCGGGCCATTGCCTCTCTGTGGAGCCAGGAATCTCGCTCTCTCAGGGAGACTCTGCTGCTCTGGCCATTCTTCCTCTCCCCGTTCCCCTTCCAGTCCTTCCGCAGCTGGGCGCCCGTAAACACTGGGGAGGGGCAGGGCACGGCAGAAGTGGACTGAGGGAACAAGGGAACAGGTCATTACAAGAAGACACCGCAGCTGGGTGAAAGCTAGGAAGGGCGCCGACAGTCAGCACAGGGGACAGCTCCAACAGCCAGAGCACAGCAAGTGCAAAGGCCCCGAGGCAGGAGAGAGCCAGGCACATGGGGACAAAGCAGAGAGGCCAACAGGGCTGGAGGGGCTCTGGGGAAAGGTACAGGATTCGGATCTCACGGGGATGAAGACCAGAGCTCACCACTGACCCCATCTCTTAGTGAGCCAGTGGTCGGTGACACAGGATGGGCAGTGGTGACCAGGACTGTGATCAGTGGCAGGTGAAGATAGCTGTTCTCCGATTTGGAGACCAGTTACTAGCAGACCCGCCTTCCTGGCTCCCAGGCTCCCAGGCATGGGGGCTGTGGGTAGGGCTGTCTGCTCCAGCAGGAGTTATAAATGGACCAGAGCGGCTGTCGTCACGGTGACCAGAGTGACTGCTCCTGGGGCAGCCCCGGTCGGCGCCCCCATGGCCCCTGCTCTCCCCCTGGGAACAGGAGCCTGGCCGGCCTCGGCCTTTTAAGGGCATTTCTGGGCAAGCACCTCCATTAGCGGTCTGTACTGGCTGCAATGTGATCTCGCTGGAGCCTGGCTCTCAGTACGGCAGGAAGCTCTTCCTGGCTGGGCAGACAGCCACCACTGCCTGTCCAGGCAGGCGCCCCCACGTGCCACCTCCTCTGGATGGGGAGGGGGTGCATGAACATCCCCCCGGAACTGCTCCACTGGCGTAGGTGGTTGGCCACTGTGTGGAGAACGGGGGTCCGGGCGTTGCTCTGGAGCCCTGATTGGGGGGGGCCAGGGTCCCGGGACCCTCTGTACAGCATGTTGCCCCTTACCTTCCCTGGCTCTGGGCTACTTTCAAAACCAAAAGCACTTACCCCTGCAGAAGGCAGGAGGGAGAGCGTGGGGGTCCCAGGCTGAGACTACCCAGGGTCTCGGGTCAGGTTTGTGTGAGTGGGGACTGGACAGGAGGAGGAGAGGTGAGACTTCTGGAAGGCTGGACAAGCAGCCCCTCCGCATTCTGAGGCTTCCCTGGTGTCTCTCAGCCAGGGCTCCACCAGGGTCAGGGCAAAAGGGGCCCCGGGGCTTGGCAGAGGGGCCACACCTGGACTCTGGCACTCTGGGGCCCCAGGGGGTGCTCTCAAGGTCAGCTGTTGAGCCACCTGGGCAAGCAGGTGTGTCCTAGGAGAGGTTCCTCAGACACCTGGCGCACCAGGTGATGCAGGCTCTCAACCCCAGAGCGGGCAGCTCAGGCTCCCTGGGTCCCGCAGGCTCGTTACCTGCCCACCGCAGCCCCCATACCATGGCCACCGTTCCCCTGGCTGGTCTGCTTCCATGGCCTGGCAGCTCCCTTTGCCCAGCCTCAGTGCGCTCTCAGCAAGGGTGTGCGGGCCGAGGAGGCTGCTGCTTGCTGACTCGGGTCCAGATTCAGTCCAGAGGAGCAGACCCCACTCCCGTGCCTGTCGCGGGTTTGCCTTGTCCAGACAGGTAGGCGGCATTGCTGCCACGGAGAGCTTACAACCCAGGGTGCCTCCACCTGCATGTTCCAGCTGCGGTAGCAGAGACCAGAGAGAGTGCCCTGCCCCAGGCCAAAGAGCTCCTCGACGCAAAGTGGGTGTGAGCTGCAGGGTCCGCGCGGAGCGGCGCTGGCTGGGTCCTGTGGGCAGGGTGAGTGAGCAGTGCCCAGAGGGGCAGCTGCAGAAGGGTCTGCCCAGCTCGGCCCAGGCTCTGCTGGGATAAGCACACCTACCAGGCCAAGCTGCCTGGACACTGATTAGTGCCATTTTAAATCAAATTTAATTAAATTATTTTATTTATTAGTTTATTTGCAAGAACGAGGGTTTCAACCGGATAAAGGGCATCTACGAAAGATCCACAGCTGATGTCCACTTACTGGTGCAAGACTGGTGCTTCTGTAACAGAGCACCACAGACTGGAAGGCTTAAACAGGAGACGCCGATTGCCTCACAGTCTGGAGGCTGGACCTTTACAATCCAGGTGTCGGCAGGTTGGCCCCTTCTGAGACTGAAGGAGAATCTGTGCCAGGCCTCCTCTCCAGCTTCTGGTGTTTGCTGGCCTCTCTAGTGTGCCTTGGCCTGGAGATGCATCACCAGCACCTCTGCCTTCTCCCTTTGTGCCTGTGTGCATGTCTGTGTCCATAAGGACACAGTCATACTGGATGGGGGCCCCTTACTCAAGTGTGACCTCATCCTCACTAACGACATCTGCCATTACCCTCTTTCCAAATAAGGTCACCTTCTGAGGTGCCGTGGGTTAGGACTTCAACATAATAGGAATTAGGGGACAGATTCAGCCCAGAAGGTCAGGAACAGTCAAGGACGTCTGTTGTCACCACTTTGATTCAACAACATTCTGAACATCCGACCCAGTGCAACAAGCAGGAAAAAGAAAACGCAGCATCCAGGTTGGAGAGGAAGTAGCAAGTTGTCTTTCTGCACCGATGAAAGAATTCACTGTGTGGGCAATCTTAGGAAAATGTACAAAAAAACTCCTAGAACTTGTAAACGTAGCAAGGTTAATACAAGATCATTGTGCAGAAATAAAGTGTATTCTGTTTGCAAGCAACACACAATCCAAAATTTAAATAAAAAACAACACCAAAAATGCGCAATATTTAGGGATAGATCTTACCAAAAATGTGCATGTTCTGACTGTAAATTACAAAATATTGCTAAAGGAGATTAAGGTGAATTAAATAAATGGAGAGATGAACTATGTTCATGGATTGGAAGATGCACTTTTGTTAAAATGTCAGTTCCCCCCAAATAGATCTGCTCCTTCAAAGCAATCAAAGTCCTATCAGAGGCTTTTGTAGGAGCTGACAAGCTGATTATCAAGTTCATATGGAAATGTGAAAAACCTACAATACTCAGTCTAAACGGGATAAAAAAGAATGAATTTGGAGAACAGATATTACCTGGTTTCACGACTTATTATAAAACTATCACAATCAAGACAGTGTGGTGTCAACATTAGGGAAGACAACATATGAATGGAATATAGTAGAGAGTCCAGAAACAGACCCAAAAATATATGGACAATTTTCAACAAAGGTGCAAAGACAATTCAGTGGAGAAAGGAAGGTCTTTCCCACACATTGGGTGTCCACAGGCACACAAATGGAACTTTGACCCATACCTCTGACCATATACCAAACAATAACTCAAAATCATAGACCTAAATATGTAGCCTAAAACTGTAAAATTTCTAGAAGAAAACAGGAGCAAATATTCGTAACCTTGAGTTAGGAAAAGACTTCTTAGTGACAACACCAAGAGCATGAACCATAAAAGAAAGTGGATAAGTTGGACTGCATCAAAATTAAATTTTTTGCTTTTCCAAAGCTTTACTAAGAAATGGACGATGAGCCACAGACCGGGAGAAAAGTCTTTGCCAAGCACATACCTGATGAAGGATTTACATCCAGAATATATAAAGAACTTCCTAAACCCCAAACAGGAAAACAAACCACCCAATTAAAAAAAGGGGGCAAAGGGGCGCCTGGGTGGCTCAGTTGGTTAAGCGACTGCCTTCGGCTCAGGTCATGATCCTGGAGTCCCGGGATCGAGTCCCGCATCGGGCTCCCTGCTCAGCGGGGAGTCTGCTTCTCCCTCTGACCCTCCTCCCTCTCATGCTCTCTGTCTCTCATTCTCTCTCTCTCAAATAAATAAATAAAATCTTTAAAAAAAAGGGGGGGGCAAAAAATATGAATAGACATTTCACCAAAGAAGGCACACCGATGGTAAATAAGCAAATAAGTTCACGTCATTCGTCATCAGGGAAATGCAAATTAGAGCCATGGTGAGGTGCCACGGTGCACCAATTAGAAAGTCTAAAATGCAAACGACTGGCCATCCCAAGGGTGGACGAGGTTGGGAATTAACAGGAATTCACATTCCTTGCTGGCGAGAGGACGAATTGATGCCCACTTTAGAGAAACAGTCTGGAAGTTTCTCTAAAAG